TCTATACTCTTATAATAGGATTAGATATCATATTATTATCTCTATTTTATCTTATTAACAAATACAATGCAATACATTGATTGCAGTTACTTATACAAACGTCTGGGATTTTGGAACAAGGGAAGAAACATGAACAATCAGCTGCTATTTTTTCAAATGCACTTTTCTAACAATGATTACATGCTGAAATGGTAATTGCAACTTCAAAATAGCATAAAACAGCACAGCTGCTCTTGAAATAATAGACATAGCACAGACTTGTCTATGATATTTTTTGTAACTGACTCTGTACTTGAAAAAATTTTGAATCTAGAAGTGCTTTTATTGAATACATTACTTATCAGCCAAACAAATGAAACTGCATTTGACTTTTACCACAGCAACATTGACATCTAGTGGCTAGTTGAACTCCATATTTGTTATCCTTTATCTGACAAAAAAACGTGGAACATACCATCTACTGAATTTGACAAAATAAACATGAATTGCAACAGCCTGCTCTCCTTACATAATCTCTAGATGATTACAGAATGATGGTAGTCTTTAATGACTAGCCTGGAGTGACCAGTCCTGGTGACGGGAACCAATGAATGTAAGCCATTGCCTCTCAGCACAGCTCTGCTGGTTTTCCCTGACTGTCAGGAAGTCTTAGGCTTGGGAGTCAGCTGCCTAACTGAAGTATATACCTTGCTTGGGGCTTGTTGGGAGCCATAGCACATCCCTAAAGTTGTACACAGGTACATCTAAAAGAAGAACTACACTTACTGAATCTGATGTTACTGGCATATGTGAACGTCCATTTTTCCATTTTTAGTTCTACTTGCTTTTCTACAAATTACTAGGGGGCTTTAGATAGAGAGAGATGAAAATCAGGAACACGACAGATGTCCTGAGAATGTTTGTACTATGAAGACACGAAAATAAATTATTTGGCACCTTCATAGATGTGTAGAAGATAGGAAGGTGCCAATATCAAATAATGATAGAAAGTCTAATTTCATCATTTTTCAACAAAATAACCGGCTCAATGGAGAAAGTGGAAAAATTAGACAAGATGAATCTCAATTTTACTAGAATTTTTGATGGTTCCACATTACTTTCTCATAATCAAACTCAAATGTAGTCATACATGTCCTCTGCAAACAGGTCTTATGAAGCATATAGTTGTCAGTGACAGCCTTGCCCTTGCTTTCCATACCAGTGGTAGCTGTTTCTTCTGGCCTGCTGGCAAAGCTGCCTGATTTATTTCATTGAAAATTGGACCAATTTTGTAATCAGCTAACCAAACTAATTTTGACCAAACAAATCAGAGACTGTTGAGTTTAAGCAACTTTTCCAGAAGATTTTAGGAGGCAATAATCTCCTGCAGGAAGGCTGAGGTACTTCTTCCTAGATAAATACTGATAAGGATTAAACAGCTATACTTAATGTTTCTTAGAAATATGTAGAGAAATCCAAATCTGAAGAAGAGCAATAAAACATATAAGAGGTCTCAAAAATGTAACCTATATGGAAAGGTTAAAGTACTTCCTTTACCTTCAAAAGGGAAGTCTGTAGGCATGAGGACAGGCTGAGAGAGTTGGGGTTGTTCAGCCTGAAAGACCTTACTGCAGCCTTTCAGTACTTAAAGGGGGCTGCAGGAAGGATGGGGAGGGACTCTTTATTGGGGAGTGTAGGGATAGGAATGGTTCTAAACTGAAAGAGGTAGATTTAGATTAGATCTAAGGAAGAAATTCTTTATTCTGAGGCTGGTGAGGCACTGAAACAGGTTGCCCAGAGAGGCTGTGGCTGCCCCCTCCCTAGCAGTGTTCAAGGCCAGGCTGGACAGGGCTTGAAGAAACCTGGTCTAGTGGAAGGTGTCCCTGTCCATGGCAGGGGGGTTGGAACTAGATGGTCTTTAAGGTCCCTTCTAACCCAAACCATTCTGTGATTCTATGATATACGTCTTCCAGTATTTAAAGATGTTATTCAAATGATGACTCTTGCTTTCTGTACCGACTAATGTAGGACATTAAGAAATTATCTCAAGCAGCAACAAAGGAGATTTATCTTAGACATTAGGAGAAAAACCTATATACCTGTAGTGCTAGGTCCTGAATAATAGGCCCTGAAACAAAGTTGACCTCTAGATAAACCTCACAACCAAACGTTATTCACTATTAGTATCTGCTAATTAGTAAAATCGGTATTACCATTAGCATTTATTAATTAGTATCTGATCATTAATGAAATATGTACGCTCACTAGTGAAAGATGTAGCTTAGACAAAAGGTAATTAGTAGTGAAGATGAAATGCTGTGAGAATGTGTAACCAGCTTCCCTTGTTTAGCAGTGTTCAAGCCTGAGAACCCAAGTGTTAGAAATCCTTGTTAGAAACTCCCTTGGTTCTCCGCTCCAAACTCGGGCCAGGCTTTGGGTGGAATCCAACAGGAGGATGAAACCAGATGTTTCCGCTCAAAGAAAAGTGCAAGTCATTCTGACTTGCTGGTTTTTTGTATATGAGGCTGGACCCTCTTGCTGCGACTTTGGATGCCTCACCTATGGATGGATGCATCGCATAGGACTTCCCACTTGCTCTCCAAATCCTCGCTGCAACTGGGGCTCCCCAACAACTGCGGATCTGGATTGTGGTAAAATATGCAAGTGGTGACGTATCTTTCCTAATCAATACTTAAGAGGTTAATAGATATTTGTGCTGTGAAATCTCCTATACTGGAAGCTTTTAGAAACAATTCAATAAGCATGTGAGGTATGATTCTTTGAATTTGGCATCTCCATGACTTAATACCTTCTTTTGGTTGATGCACATTGATAAAACTGCCCCCCATAAAAATATGGTGGAATTAAATAAACAAATGAACAGGTTATTTAAGTAAACATAATGCTGCCCCCAAATTACAAGGTCAGAAGTCTGTCCTGAACACACATCCCAGATGTTAAAATGTACCTTTTACTCTCCAGTACAAATGACATGAGTCATGTATTCATAAATGTCTTCATGACAGCAACAGTTTTACCACTCATTTAATGAATTTGATGACTAAGAAGTGGCAAATTCAATAAAATGTCTTTTTTTTTTTTTTTTTTCTCATACTGAGGCTATCTCCGTGGTCTGCATGAAATGATCTGATATTACATAGGTGACTCGAATATGAATTTAAATACAGAGAAGCTGATGAACTCTTGGGATTATTTCAAAATCATGGATGTTACCCTGTATTGTTAAGAATATCCCTGGGAAGACTTTTGGGGGGAAGAAATTGCCATTTCTTCTTCCCAAAGCTTTCTATGGAAAAACTGAGTGGTTACAGTTGAAGTAAGAATATGTTGATGATTTGAAAACTTGGGAAGAAAAACATTTATTTCCTGAAGGCTTTAAAATCATGTCTGACTTAAGCTTCCTGAATACACTAGGTCTCATACATAGCCCATTTCTAGATTTAGGGCAGGAGTAAAGTAGGAACTGCAGTGATGTTGTCTCCTTTGTGGGCCATGAAGTTCAGTGCTACTGTAATTTAAGAGTATAGTTTCACTTTACTGCTAAGATGATCTAAGACAGCTGCTGCTGAAAGGGCCACCCTCATTTCTCACCTCCTCCTTCCCTCCTGCTCCATCCCTCTATCCCCAACCTTTTTTAGCACCACCACTATTACTCATCAGACACCACAGCAGGACAATCAGAGGAGCTAGACCGTCAGAAAATTAAATACTGCAGTTGAGAAGTGGTCAGATGAGCAGTAGAGCCAGTTCAAGAATAGGAATGCTCTCTTCAGCAGCAGCTAACCCATAGATTGATATACCTGTAAAATGGAAAACTGTGCTCCTAAGGTTTGGTTGTAGAGTTATTGAAATCCAATTTAAAACCATAGCACCTCTCACCCTGCAAAGAATTATGCCCATCTCTTCCCTTCTTTTTCCCCATATCTTTCAGTCCTGTGGGGCTCATATGAGAGAAGTGTCCTTTTTGATGTCAAAGCATATTGATGCTAAACTATGGATCCCATAGGATCAAACCTTAATACTTATAATATAGTTTCAACTTCCAATTTATTAAGGAAGCCATTTCTGATCCACTTTCCCAGCTGTAGATTACTGTAGCCCACATATAAAATGCAGTCAGGTGATGTTTGAAAGGAATGCAGTCAGAAAAACATAACATTGTAAAATGAAATTATCTAGCTGCTATTCTCAGAAAAACTGTTTATAAAATAAGTTCAGCATCTACAACAGTCACTATAGTTGGACTCACTGCAGAATTTTCCTCTGTCCCAGAAACTTTACTTTTACTATATGCAGGCTCCTGCTTTTGCGGCCACAACACAATGCCAAGAGATTCAAGAACTATAAATCTTTCCTCTACCTTTACCACTTTCCTTCAAAGTGCATAATCAATGGTATGTTGGCCCAGTTTCCCGAATCATGTAAGGATTCATTCACACTAAAGCAGCCTGTCACTTCCATAAGAAAGGAACAATAAAAAGATGCCTGATAATACAGCTTCATGTATATACATTATTTATTTCAAGATATTTAAATTATTAATTAGGATAATTCCATTTTTGCAACAGAGTCTCTGCCCTTCAGAGGAAATGGGCCACATCATCAGGACTTCAGCAGAATAGTGCACACACTCAAATAACCATACTGCCACTCAGTTCCTTTTCACAGGACACTTTAGCATCACCTTCACATCCCTTCAGAATGATAACAACATAGCGAGTGACACAAATAATAGGTCAGGAGGAAAAATACTTTTGCTTTTAAAACTGAGGTTCAGTAGCCAAGGTAAGGAGGTAGGCTGTCAACTATGGCATGTGATTGCCTTACTGCATAATAGCAACTAGGTACAACTTATATATCACAATGACAGTAGTAGTATTTCAGTTTTGAAAATTTCCGTATATTAAGTGTGTCTGTGGTTTAAGATTCCAGGAATCAATAACACAGCTGGAAACTCTAATACAGTCCAGAAGAAACTGTGATGGATTAAAGCACTTCAGACCTCGGCAGTCAAAATGCTGGTTCAGGTATTGTGCGCCCTAATGTTTGATGGGAAACAGTATCAACTCCTTGACAGCTACCTGCTGTATCTGATGGCTTAATGCTGAAGATTGGTATTTCCCAGATACCTTACCAGAAAACAGTTTTAGTTTATAAAGCCATTTTCTCTGATGCAACCCACTGGCTGCCTAACTCTGATCACCCAGTTGCTGTCGGTCCTCGCAGAGAAACTGGGTCATGTACTGCCTTTCCTTCTCCTAACTGCGAGATGCGATTGAAAAGAGAAACCGCTAGAACACGTGGAAATCGATGTTACATATTACCTTGCCGAGGCTGCCCGGGCGTTAATACGGCTGTGGACGGGGTCTGTGCCGCGGTGAGGGCAGCGCACACACCTACTGCACGAAGCCCGACCCGGGGACGTCTGGCAGTTCCTGCCCGCCGAGGAGCGGCCGCCCAGGGCCCTTCCTCCCCGAGGGGCCTCCTCCAGAGCGACCCCCGCCTCCCCGACCCCTCCCCGGGGGACCCTCTCCGCCGCCCCAGCTCAGCTCCTCCGAAAGCTCCGGGGGTACTGCCGGGGCGAAGCGGGACGGGGACGAGAGGGGCTCGCTAAGGCCT